AAACAAATCGTTACAAAATAACTCCAACGCAAAACTCTACGAACTTATGTTACAACCCAATACTTTGGTGTTATTCATTTTATTCCTGAAAAGGAACTAATTCTGAAAACGCTGATTCATTCGGCTGTTGACGAGAGTTATATATGTAAAGGACTTAGTGTATCTAGCTGTTTTCAACTTCACAAAAGTTTTGTTTCCTCCACGCTATGTATTGAAGCAGCAGTTACCTAGGGAGTGCTCGTGTCCATTATTGCATGCACACTTTTCCATAATCTGTCACATCAGCATAGAATGCAAAACTTCAGAATTTTTCGCAATTTGCCAATCAGCCCGTTACATCCACCTCTTGTTGAAACTATTTGTTATGATTTTTGTTGTCTCTGAAATTCTGATTAGTTTTTATTATAAACAATATTCCTGACTTTTTTGATGGTATTATTGTATAAAGAAATCATACGTCACACTCACCGGCTGTACAAAGACGGTAACCAGTCCACAGTCGGAAGAATAGGTCGATGATATGATGACCTAGCCATGTACTCCTTTCTAATAAGTGCTTGCTCTTTAAAAGAGTTGCATTCAGTTCGCCTGTATTGATATTTCCTGAATATATTATACTTACCACTGGACGGTACGATACCATTTCGAACAAATATCTTGAGGTCGGTATGAACGTTTCCTTCAAGTTGATAGAGGAAGCAGGGTAGAATGAGGTTTTCGCGCTTATCAATCCCGTATGGCTTCATAAAAAGGGTGCTTCCATGATTCTACTGGCTGACCTTGAGCCTCCCCTCGCCGGTCAATTACCTCAAAATCGAAAGCGTAAAGTCTTCGGCGCTGATCCATCCCGTTTTGGGGTACACCGCGGCATTTGACAGTCGTTTGAAGTGACGGTTTGTATGCATGGTGGTCCGAACAACAAGTTGCGGTGGCAGTTTGATCTACAAGCGAGTGCTTTATCTTCTCAGAGATTTGCGGAACCTAACCGATCATGAAGAAATGGAAGATCTCTATTATATATTTCAGTAATTTCATTTTGAAGATTATTCCAATACTTCACTCGTTTCTGGATTTGAGGCCGTGTATGACGGCAAATTTTTCTCACCTACTAGGATGGAGATACTGGTTCGTGTTTTGAATGAGAGGTTGTGAAATCGAAGACCATTTCATCTTTTCACTCAGTAATGAGCAAAGGTAAAAATGTGTCTAACAAACTTTCAGGAAAAATTGTGAGTGAATGCTGATCAACGAAAGAAGCACCCGGGTACTGACTACTTCATCGTCGATCACAATGTCAGTAGATACCACTGAAGGCTTTGATTGATTGAGCATGTTGCTCAAATCTAGAGAAACCTTGAGCGTGTTAACCGAAAAAAGAAAGAAATTGAATTTTCTCGAAGACGATAGTTGTGCATGATTATTAAAAGCAACATCACACTACATAGAGGCTACAAAAGAAACATCATCACTTATGGCAGACAGTTGCATTGCCCTGCTTGGGCTGATTACCGTAATCTGTGTCATACTTGAGAGCTTGCCTTGACCAGGTGATTCTCGGTGTTATTCGTTTAGGAATGAATGGGAGGTGGTGTAGTAGCAAGTGGCGCACTACATCACACGCACGGTCAGGGGTTCGAATCCCGGATCGGTACCCGCCTAGGCCAACCAAGCCTTCCATCCCTCCGGGGTCGGTTAATTGGTACCAGACTTGTCTGGGAGGATAAAAGCACTGACTTGTACATCGGTTGGCCACCGCAGGCCACAGATGCACACATTACGCAACTGCGATTCTGAATGGAAGTCGAGTGCGGGGGCGCATCCCTCAGACGGGATTGATTAACGCCAAAAACTTTATCCTTTACTTTTATGTCGTCGGGAAGTATCTACCAAAAATTTCGCAAAAGCACGAAATCTATTCTTAGAAATTCTGGAAGCCTCCATGGAACTGATATTGGTTAGGGACACTACGCACTTGTATAACGTTGCATATGAATCCGCCCATTACGCTCCTAAAGCTCATTTAAATTTATGTCAATTATTTGGTCTTGACCCCTCTTCTGCGCGGTTCTGTGTACGCCTGTTCTTAACGTTGTAAACAGGGAATGAGTGGGTTAAATATGGGCTTCGATCTGGTCATATCTGAGTAATACCCCTTACACTACTTCTATTTCGCTTCCACGAGCATTTCAGAACAATCCGTTGGACAAAGTTTCGGTGGATACTTTCGAATATTCTAATAGCACGTCTGAGGGGAGTGTATTACCGCCATCCAGAAGAAAGCTTTATATGAATGATATATATGTACAGCAGGCACATAAAATATACAATGTAAAAGAAGCACGTGCTAGCGATGAGATATACAGGACGTGATTTTACAGTATCTTTCTCTACAGTATCTAATGAGTTGTGTGGTTTGATACTAAGACCGGTCATTTTATCACATATATGAAGACATTTTGTTCCGTTTCTCGGGATCACCATACTTTTCACACTGCCTTTTGATGTATTCTTCTGANAGTGAGTACTCTGACGCACGGTAGTCCTGAATTCGAAGCTTTGTTCATAGTATCAGTCATCAATGAGACAAAACTATGTCCAGATAGTTCTGCCCTATTCTGTTCTCGCCAAAAAAAAAACAAGTCGAAAAGGTTGAAAAGGCGGGCTTTCTCTCCGGAAGGCTTACAAATGGTCGGTTCGAGAATTCCACGTTCTCTCCTGATCTTACAATTAGGCAAGAGTATCTTTTTCAAATTACTCTGGAATGTTAGGTGGGAATAGCTTCTGATTACAAGACTTGAGTTGGGCCTTGTCCGATTTCTGCTTAAAGAACTTCATTGGGCATTACTTATGCAACAACCTAGTGACTTTTTAGCATTAAAATCCCTTCCCAACTAATTTCCAGATACCTATTTTTTACGGTGGATATGATAAGTCAGGGGAGGGGTTCCGAATCTATATAAAACTTCTTTTCTCTTCGTTTTGTTCCAATTACCCTCCTCCCTGAGGTCCGTGACTTCCTTGTCTAAACTTATCTTATATTTCCTAGATGCTTCCTATATCCCCTAGACCTTTTTATAGCATTTTGAAAAAGCTCTCCTTCACGAGAGTTTATGAAAATTCTGAAAAGCTTTATTACCTGTGGAAAAGTATGATGGAAGTTGTGGCCGCCTTCACCAACGGCCGCTACGGAAGTCCAGACGGATTCTACAGGGGTGATACGGCTGTCATAAGGTCTGTAGCCAAACCTGAAGTAAAATCATGAACAGCAAATGAGTGCTGTCTTTAATGCTGTGTCATCATCATTCATCAGACGAATCGCTAATGCTCTGTTATCAAACTTACATCTTTGTCTTATGCGCCTCGCATTCGGAAACCTTTCAGAATCGTTTTAAACGCATATGTTGCCTATACAATAACCTGGAGTGACGAACAGAGGGCAACATTTATGTTTTCATCCTCCCATGCCAAATTGGTACCAGTGAACGGGCCCCCGAGGGATGGAAGGAGTAGTTGGCCTGAAGGGGATAGGGGGAGGAATTGGTCCGGGATTCTTCTACGTTTACTAATCAGCTCAGAGTTTCGCTGGCGGTAAGTCTTTCGTTGCACAGAACACAGCTTATAGTTCGCTCAACCACGATTACCGGTCAACAAAGGAATTGAGGAATATCAAAATTAATTGTCTGCCGTTAAAGCTGAGAGCCTTTAAGACGCTCAAGGTTTTGTTCTGTTGATGTATTGTAGGAGAGCAAGTCATATTTATTGTATTGGAACAGAAAAAAAGTAATGAAGAGCTGGGTGAAAGACGATTTGTCCGGCCCATTCCACCACAAGGGAACCATTTTTGAATAAATATTTTATGTTAGCCGACGTCTTGGCTTCTTTTCTTTTAGGTAAACACATTCCAAAGTAGGAAATAGATAAGCTAATATGCTTACTGTGTGGTATGTATTTGATTTTCGAGCTATCTATCGAACCTTTAATAATGGCAGTTAGACGGCATTTTTCTGGAAGAAAAAACTGATAGAGATCGAAAAGATAACGTACATATGGGCAACGCTATTAATAAACCAGGTGGCGTGGAGTAAGAAGCAGTAACGGAACAAAGATGCCGTGTAGAAGGCGACCAACGGCGATTCACCCCAAAATCGTACCGGAATAGCGGCAGGAAGTAAAAAGCAGAACAGAATTACCATCGGGAGGTAGTACCTGAAATGATAGTGCCTATCGAGTTTACATTTGAATATATATATATATGTGTACATAAGAAAAGGAAATATTAACATATGTAAAAGTGTGCAGTATAAGAAGTTTTTTGACCTAATCAACCCCGTCTGAGAGGTGCGCCCCGCTTTCGACTACCACTCCAAATCGTGGGGCCTTTTGAATGCGTTTGTAGCCTACACAACAATGTGGAGTGGTCAATGGATGTAAATGTTGAAGTTTCATCCTCCCTAACGTCAGTGTTACCAAATGACGGATCACATAAGGATAGGAGAATTGGCTGGTATAGGCCGATATAGGCCCGGGATTCGAACCCGTGCTGGTGCGCTACTTACCACTACACCACCCCTGCCCTCTATAGTATACGGATGAACACTTTTTTGTTAGATTTTTTAACAACTTGGTTATGAATTTGATTTCTGAAAATTATTTCCACTAGCACATTAGTGTAAGGTTGAACAAGGTCGTATAACGAGATGATTATCTTTCAATACTCACTTCCTTTGAAACACCAACACAGGATCAGAAAACAAGTCGGATAAGTCGAGTTTTTTGCCTTGCTCTTTGATCTGAAATCATCAAGAGAATTGTAGAACGAGCATTCAAGGGCAGTGGAAGATCTGCTGGTTTGGTACGATATTTATAATTTCGGTTACCCTCACATGGTTTCATTCATTCTTTTTCCCTTGATGCACCTAGACCACGTTCAAGTTCGGGCCAAGGGACTCAATTTTTCGATAATGAAATCATTAAACAACGTCGAAGTATTACCTGAGGATGCTTCTTGACAAGCAGCCATCCCATGTGGGAAAAGAAAAAGCCTCGGTTGGTATTGTGAGGATCAGCGTGTGTATCCGTCCATTTGTGATGACATCTATGATCACGAGCCCATTCGATGATGTCGTTCTGAAAAAAATTTCTACTATGAAATGTTACTACGACTTATTTTGCACTCTTTGCTGACATGCTTCAAGAAAAATGTGTCCAGTGCCCTTTGGTGATGTTTGGCTTGGAGAAAACCGCGTAGATCAATTTTATTAATAGCCATAAGTGCGGTTCGGCTATTAAATTTCTATTTACAAGTTTCGAGAGATGGGGAATTCTCAATCGGTGTTTTAACCAACAAAAAATTGATACTTTTTACTCACCAGTATTTCAGGCAAGCAAAATTGTTTTTTGAGTGGCTTGTAAATTCCACGATCCCCTCCCTTCCCCCCTCACCCAACCCTCCACCTCCCCCACTGCCTCTCTCTCCAAAGCGTCTCTTATACTTCAAAAACGTGTTCAATGCAGAATAGAGAAATATTATAAAAACCTGTGAGAATGTAAAGGGAATCTTGGGTTTTGGGTACTAGGGTTGACGCACTTATGCTTCGCAAACGATTGTCTATCACTTACGACTATTAACTTTGGAGGGCATTCGTATTGGGCCCAAATAATGAAAATATTCATAGTAAATCTATAACAATTTATTATGAACCTGAAATGCTGTAGTGTCCATAAGCATCAGAAGAATACGGTACGGTAGGTTTGCCTTGTATGCTCTATGAGACCATAGCCGATGTGCACCTGCCGTAACGCCGATCGCTCCAACCACGTGTAGAAAGAAAGCTGAAGGTGTAGGACCTGATTATGTGAGCGATTTCACCACAGAGAAATTTACTTAACAGAATGATAATAAATTTTCGTCTTTTGAAACCATAACCTAGGCCGGAACCAAAGATCCTCGACCAAATGGACCTTATTACTCAGTCTGCTCAGAAATTCAGAGGCATACTATTAAAATAATCACAAAGCACTGCATGTTATTGACATCTATTGGTTTGCCACTATAGGCCAGTAAAACGGTGTACAGGCACTTATCGTCGTTCTGTCAGCCTCTCAGTTTTTACATAGCGTTTTGTGTTTCAGCCTACTCATNTTGTGTTTGAGCCGTAATAATGACAAGTAATAGAGGCTTAATTCTCCTGCGCTGATAGAACCCGTTTTCAGGACGCGCCACGCTTTGGACATACATTCAAAAATGTAGTGGCCCTTTAAATGTGTATGTTGCCTACGCCATGATTTGCGATGGCCAACCGACGTACAAATCGGTGTTTGGTCTTATCAGAGACTTTGGTATTGAATAGCTGTCCCCAGAAAGATGAAAGGCTAGGTTAGTTTGAGCGGGAGCCGGGATTCCATTCCATACCATGGTGCCAAAATTGTGGCCAATTTGCCACTACAAACTTCCCACTAATACCATCCTTTCGGGGTCGACTAGCTCATCAGATCAGATCCGTCTGAAAGAAAAAATCAACTTGTACATTGGCTGGTCACCACATTGTATAGACGACATACACATTCAAATCGCCACTACGGTTTTGAATGGCATTCGAATGCCAGGCACAACCCAGAACATAACACAACTATCCTTCCAGCCCCTGATTCTCAGCCTCCAAGCTGTCGACATAATGCCAAGCCAATGTCTGTCTCTTGCCTTGAAATCAAATTTCTAGCCGCTCACTTTTTTATAGACTGTTGTCGGAATACACAGTGTAGCAAGTGTTTCCACTAATTTGATAACCTCTCGACCCTTCTGTGCAGACGGAATACGATAAGGAAGGAGAACAGAGTTGAACAATGTGTCTCCTGATAACTACACATACTGTAGCCGTCAAAGATCATAGAGACTCGTGGTTTCTGATAAATAATTTGCATGTGATTGCATTGACCGCTCCACAATACGCTGCCGACTTCATATCGTATGAGGCCCGAGCGTTATCAGCTTTTTCACACATTCACACATTCTTGTTGGTAGACAGTGGAACGAAACATCAAGGTGCGCGAGGTTAGCTGTCCACTGGACTAAGCTTTTCCAAAATTTCACACAAAGAAGAAGACACAGTGGAATACAGAGGAATAGGAAGATGTTACAGAACATAGTCGATCTCAATAAAGCCCACAAAGCTCCCATAGACGAGCCTGGGAAGGAATTTGATTGGATCGTTTTGTCTAACGATAGGTAAGTCAAAAACAGGACTGACAATGATGCCTGTTGGAACAGCATATCATCGGTTGGCTTAGCCCTCGAATCCTTCGCAGTAGTTATGGATGTTTAATGAAAACTTCGAAAAATCTCTGAACCGATCGAGGATTGGTCCACAAGGCTTACTCGCGACAAGAAAACATCGAATGGCCCACGATAAGGATCACTGCCAAGGCTCTAATTAGATCTGCCAGTTCTTCCAGCGGTACTCAAATATGTGGTTAATTCACAGTTTACGTTAGTAGTTGTACGTGGAATTTGATCTGCAAGTTCTCCAGGACAGTACGGACCGAGGAAAATATCATCGCTAATTTTGTTCGCGGAGCTTCGAAAGATAGCATATTTCCATGGAATTGTTTCTTGTTTCTTTTGCTTGTAAAAGTTTTGCTCTTTAAAAATGAAACGGATTGGCTGAATGAGAGTAAAAGCTGAACAAAATGGTGTGCATGATTTCTGAAGGCTGATTGAGTTTAGTTATTTTGAAATAGCACAGCAGCAAATTACGGCTTTCACCCTCCCAGCCAGTCTTCGAACAAGCTTGAAGAGGGATCGAAGTCTTGGTTGGCTTGGTCGGATATCGTTCCGAGATTCGATCCCTGTCCATGCATAGAGTGGTGCGCTACTTGCCACTACACCACCCCCGCCCTATCAGACTTTTTCAACTTACCACCAAAAAATCTAAGTTTAGTGGAATAAAGTTAAGTTACCGCCTATCTACTTGAACAAGTCAAATCTGTACTTGAACTTACACCAAAACACCGTTGCCCATTTGGCGACGNGAGTGGTGCGCTACTTGCCACTACACCACCCCCGCCCTATCAGACTTTTTCAACTTACCACCAAAAAATCTAAGTTTAGTGGAATAAAGTCAGGTTACCGCCTATACTTGAACAAGTCAAATCTGCACTTGAACTTACACCAAAACACCGTTGCCCATTTGGCGACGAAAATCAGCTGATATAAACCGATTAGCGCTCCCAGATGCAGTGCCGCGAACAAAATCACATTCCTCCATACAATTTCTTGCTTGTAGGGGAGCTGAAATTATCGGAGCTTGGGGTTCCCACTAAAGATTCAAACACAACAGTACACTGGTACAACAAAGCCATTAAAATACAATTTCACTTCTTACTTATGTCACTAGAGTTGCTCATGTAGCTGAGCAAGAACATGTGTTGAACGGTGCTCTCTTGTTTGCCTTTCCCTTTACAGGAAAGTCCTTTGCTTCAAGATGTTATTTGTCTGCTTATGATCTGATGTTTGTGAACTGTGATCCGTTCGATGACGAGACACCTACACTACGCTTCATAATTGCAGCCGCCACTGACGTCGCAACTCATATCACCGTCAGTTTTAACAGCCTCGTTTTGCCCGGATGTGCTCTGTTTTTTCATGTGATAAGGAGTAGATGATAAGAGCCAAGAGTGCTCCCGATATGTTCGTCAGTGGGTCATAAAGGTATTTAGAACATCTTATTCCAGGTAGATTCAGTAACAGCTCCTGATTGGGTATTATCCCGGGTAGCGGAAGTAGATGGCTACCGCAAGGATAGATAGGAAAGAACACTTATATTTTCCTATCATATCCCACTTCCATTCTGAATCCCAATGATGTTTAAATGGGGATGTGGCCCATGGATCGACCTTCTGACCAGCTAAGTTCAAGTCAGTGCTTTCGTACCCTAAAATGAATCTGTTACCAAGACCAAGAAATGGAAGGCTAGTTCCACTCGGGCGAGTATAGATCCAGGATTTCATCTCCGGACCATGTCTGCTCGACTCTGTCTGAGGTCACCAGAGCTACCGTTCAAGCAAAGTGACAAAGAGATTTGAAAAATAAGTACCTTTTCACCCTCTTTCAGCAATGTTTCGATTTCGTCGAGTTCTGCAGCTAGGAACTGGGAAGAGATCAATTTGTCAGCTTGTGGCTTTCTCCCTTGAGCTGTGGGAATGGTCATTGCTGAAAATTTAAGTTGAATAGTCGTTCTAGCTGCTAAAGTTGTGAATCACGGTGAATGAGAATATGGTAATAACGTCCACAAAGCTCGAAGAGAATGATCCACTGATATGGATGGGGTGCTAAGTGAAAATACCATGTGTTGGAAGTTCCTATGAGCTGAATCAACTCGTTCCCAAAACTACTATTTCGAGCTAATCTATCGAGAACATTCTCCCAACAGCAGACGGGACATAAAACAAAGTTGAAATATATAAATACTGAATGAAAGCTTTTTCGGCACTGTTATCAGAGAGATTCAAAAGATAATGCAGAGAAACAAAAGAAGGAAGGCAGTAGGGAAGTAGACTGTTGAGCGGACAACTCGATTTGCAATTAACCAAAGGAGCAAAAGCCTCAAATACAGTTTGGTAATCTAGCTGAAGCAATTCGCCGAATCACGCATCACTCCATTAATGGGCCCGCCCTTAGCTGATAGTGGAAAACGGTAATGAAAGATGGGAACGGGTGAAATCGGAGTTTTTCGCCTCCAGTTTATGCAGGAACTAAAGGAAACCTAACGACAGAGGAATCAGTCGCTCCTAAAATCAAAGTGTTAAAGAGCGATTATTTTGTGACTGAGCATATTTCTCACCTTACCCTTAGGGTAGGTATTATTACAAAAGCCGAAGTAGAACTCGATTACTAAGCAAGGCTGCATTCTGATGCTTGAGGGATGAAATATCTGGCAGATATTGAAGGCGTTTTGGTATGCGCCTCGCATTCGAGTTTCAGGCAGAATGCAGAATAGTAGTGGGGAGGGGGGGGGGGNGATCTAGGATCTAGGATAGCTCTTTGTATCGAAAACTACAATAAGAAACTTCGATACTCAAATACGCAATCTGTTAACAATGGAAGCGATTGTTTTTAAGATTGCGAACAGAAAATTCTCGAAGTTTAAAGTTTTTACGAGGAGAGTAATTGCGTATATTGAAAGAAATTTGAATGTTATACGAAAATTTACGAAAATATGTGAGACCTTCTATTCTGAGAAGGCGTGGAACGTGAATGATAGTGAGAATTACACAGTGTTCCTTTCATGCATAAAAATTTTTCAGGTAACACATTCAATAGCAAGCGAAACATAACGATTGGAGAAGGTTGATTGAAACTGGTAGTGCTAAATAGATTTGAACGAGACAATCGTTTCAAGGACAAAGACGGAGGGGAGGGCAGAACTAAGTAGATGACAAAGAAAAATTACCGGAATTTCTATATCTTACTATGCATTTGTAATAAATCTTTACATACTAATCTCATAAAATGAAACTTCAGTGAGTTATCTGACAGTGTGAGGGAAGTATTAGGAAGCGGTACGGGTCTCAAAAGCAACTGGGCGGTTCTAGGTGAACCCAGTCCAAGGAGTTATTTCATCCCGTAGCACAACACTTGAAGACCGGGCTACGTTTTCGAGAAATGCCAAACAAACCAACAATTAGTGAAGTGAATGTAGATAGGAATTACCACAATCATTTCAAGTAGCTGCAGAGAAAACATTCAAAGAACCTCTGGTAGGAACTGCAGGAACGAGTCATTAACCTCATTATAGTAATGATTACGGTATCTAGTATAGTAGAAAGACAGTGAAATGCAGGCACTTTAGGACAGTGCGTTCGCCCAGGGATAGGGTTAGGGAGAGAACAAAAGATTACGCATGCGTCTACTGTGGGCGGCCTTTGGTATCAGAAATCAAGGAGCGAGCCGAGAGGCCTACGTGAAGAACCCCGCCGCTTTTGGTCCTCTCCATGGGTGCTAATAACTTTGTTGCTATTCGTAGGACATACATAGGTCATGAAATAGCCGATATGGGAAACAAGAGAAGTATAGACCCTATCGAAGATTGATGATAACGTCCTCTCTGAATTAGCTTTTCCCCAAAACACTCTGAAGGTGGATTACAAGAATGAAAATTAGCCCTTCCCGTTAGCCATACCACCAGATCTATCAAGGCCAGGCAGAAGGCAGGTAGCACAACCGAGATAATTATGGCAAGAAGTAGCGAAAAAAATCAAGAAAAAGAAGGATAGAAGAAGTGGTGAATAAACATTTTTGAGGACCTGTAAATCAAGGTTAGAATGATCGCCAGAACCTATAGGTGACTAATTATACTGCTGTAGGAAAAGGTCTGTTAAAAGGACTATCATAGTAATGCGTGACTATTCCGATGTCTTCGGAATATTACGCAATTATTCAGCATTACGTACTGACCGGTGAATATCTTAACGACGAGAGGTAATATTACATACAAGAAAACTTTGTACATTATCCCTATGCTAATAAGGTTTGTTGTAACAGAGCTTCCATCACTAATCTTGTAAGATGATGATAAACTTGAACATAAGAGCTCTCTAGAAGAAAACAAGTGGTATCAAAGAAAAGTAGTGAAAGCTGTCAGAAATAGATGGAGTTTAGGTGACTCGGACGGCTGCACCGTCTTTTTTGTTGGATATGGGACTAAATTGGTCGAAAGATCCCGCCCACAATGGTTTGAGACAAAGTCCAGGCGTTCTGTGCTCCATTATTCATGAAGTTCAGCTCTACGAGATGCAGTTGAAACTCTATCAGAGAATCTGAAAAGAAAAAGGCTGCAGTCGAGAGATTTGAGTTTTTCAGAGTTCCAGAGCAGAAATATAGGCTCGGTCTCAATTTGAATCGCTCCCCTTGACCTTGAATTCAATCAATGGGCACTTTTATGGCAGTGCTAGTTCTTCTATTGCGGAAAAGATGGGATGTCCAAGTTTCCTTGTAGAGCAGTTTCTACTGTAGTTCACTTATCTCTTTTCAACCATCTTTGGCCTTTCGATGAATCTCACTGATTAGATCAAATATTCAAGAGCTGCTTGTAAGCTGGGTCGAGAGCGCTCTTAATCAGTGTTTTAATCGTTTTCCTTGAGTAATTCATATGTAGTATGAAGTAGAGTATCCCTCTATGAGTATTTATGCGGCAGAGCAAAACTTTGTCAGATACCCCTCCACACATAGGGGAGGTCCCAGTGTGATACTGATGATGCCCTTTAGGCGACATTCTTGCTCTGTTGTCTTCGTTCCTCTTTTTCACAGTATGATGTTTGGCCTTCAACCTTGACCTCTGCCTCGAGGCTCTCTCTTATTTCCTCTTTCAGGGCTTTTTCTTCTGGTTTTTGCTGACAGGAATTGCCTCAGAGTCCTGCTTTTATATTGTACGGCACACCCTTGGGTGTATTGAAACAAATTGAAATAAATAAATGTAGGTCTTATAAGTTCGAATTGTTCCGACCAGATTCTTTAGTACATTGATCAAACCCTGGTCCAATTGCCGTTAAGACTCTCGCGAATGATGTTGAACAGATCTCGTTTGAAAATATCTGGGAACTAAATCCGTCCAACTGCTTCGGTCCCTTCTCTACACTTAGCTTATTGTTGCTAGAAGTAGGCGTACAGTAATAGAGCAGATAGTGCTTTCAGAATGTAAAGCAGAAACAAAGCGGACGAATTTGTGAAAAGAACTAGGCATCAAGGAAAAAGCAGCTGCAGTTTTGAAGGTGGTGAATATTAATCCCCGCAAAGACTCGGTTTCCATATGGGTCGGTAAGGTGTGGCTAGTGGGTCGACCAACCCTTTCTGGCGTTCAAATAATCCATTCTACAGCTTGCTGCATCAAACGTTTATACACAGAAATCGTTTCGAAAGCGTTTTTATGCAAAGAATTTAGTTGATTCTTCGTTTGTGCAGCACTTTGAAGTTGGCACATGCACCTCCAGCATAGTTCTGTAAAAGTCGGTCTTCATGTGGCAAGTTCAGATTCGGAGCCCAATTTTCAAATACAAACTAGGAAAGAACGGTTGGAGAACGATGCGCTACTAATGGTAAAAGGTTTGAGAAGTATCTCCCAGAGATTTTGCAGTAACCCGAAAAAAAAGTTTTTTTTTGGAAAATTCTATGAGTTCATGGAATAGCGATCTGAGGACCCACTAGCCATTCGTAACCTATCCGGCGCCCTACTTCTTGTTTATTCAGTCCTATCAGTCAGATCGCCCGGGTGGCGCCCGGCTTTTCTCCTTTTCGTGTTAAAGTTGATCAGCCGCCTACACCCCTTCCATATTTGGATCCTCTGGTTCAGGAGAACGGGTCTTGGTTCTGTAACCCACGTTCCGCTCCCCTCATCGATCCGTCCCACCTCTCCCCATATCCGTAGAGTCCTGCCCAGTCTTATCTTTTCACCTACCATCAGCGTTCCCATAGTTCCGTCCGTACTCCTACCGAGTTTGGATGCTCTAGGTCCAAGTTAGCATTTTTCGTCAAAAACATTCGTGATTAACTTGCCTTTTGTTTACCTCCAAAACCGATAGATGCGCAGTCCGTTTGTGTGTTAAGATTGCCAACGTATTCATTGCCCTTCTCGTCAACGACGATCACTGGGGCAGAATTTCCAACGTGTACCAGAGTCCAACCACCAGAAGCGCCTTGTGATCGCGGCATCCATTGGTATTCTAGACCCATCTGGAACATTACATACTCCATCTCTGAAGCACCAGTTCGATAAGCAAGTGAGACGGCAACATGAAACGAACACAGCTTGCGTCGGGCACGGTAAGCATTTGTAAGGAACCGATTTCTGGACCGGCGTTCTCCTGGTTGTTAGCTCCGAAGATTGCCATTAGCTAAAATGCTTAATCTGCTACTGGAAGACTGGAACATCTACTTGAAATTGTCAATCAAAAAAAAGTTAGACAGATATTGCGATTCTTATACTACCTTGCCTGCTGGGCTCGGAAAAGCTCTGCCGAACACTGGTTCACCGTGCTTATACCATAGAGCAACAAACTGATTCATTGGACCCGTTTCTGTCTTTAATTGACGGTTGTCAGCCTGAAAAGCCACATTATATGTTAAATGGAGATAGAAGGTGTTTATCGGCAAACTATGGTGCTCGGGGTGTATGGAGGGGCCTCCTATCTGCTATCACTTTGAGACGTTGCAGATGCTCGAAGGCCATTTATCCTTTCAATCACGAATTGATAGCAACAAATCTATCGACCGCTAAGCTCCGGTAATCTGTAAAGTGAGTGAAACTTATGGAACTAAGGATTATCAGCACTGGCTGCTTAATCGTTGGGGCCACTGATAACATTCGCCAACAACATTTATAAGTACCATTCAAAAGATATGTTGAGTGTTGCTGGTCGAGTCACCCAAAGATGGGTGAGCGAGAGGTGGGGGAAGGGTTTGAAAGGTGCAAGTTGTACGCAACCCGATCGAGTCTACTACCAAGATGACTACCATGAGCAATCGCTTACCGGCACAACATTTGAGGGGAAGTTGTCGCCGTACTTCAAGTCGCCCCAGAGGTCATCGTAAATCTTGACACCGGTAGGAGGTGGGCGGAGATTCCGGAAGATTCCCAGCAACTCTTGAGCTGGTCCACCGGCGATGCTTTCGGCCTTGCCATCGTAACTTGCCAAAGCAATCTCGGTACTGAGGTCCAGGTAGCCGAGACGCTGCTGACCATCCTTGCAGGCGAAAAGGACGGGAGTTGACTGCCCGCACCGGACGAGCTCTCGGTGAGCCTCGCCGGCAAGACGAGTTTTGATAGGCAGCCATTCGTACCTCAAAACATTTTCTAAGTTTACTTTGAGTCTCAAAGTCTTAGCTAGTTGTACTCACCAGTAACCAAGCGAGTTGAAATCACCTTTGTAAGTCAGAATTTGAATCTGACCACCTAGAGCTTGAGCCCCACTCAGCTCCACTTTGTTGAACGGGAATGAACACTGCACACCACCGTTGTCGTTCCACGCTCGCCCATGAATTGGCTTTCCATGCTTGTACCACAGTGCTACGTACATATTTTGTTGACCCGGTACTCGCACTGGATTGTCAGGAAATGGAGCACCAATAGGCTGAAAACAGCACTCTGCTCATGTAATGCAGTCAGTGCGGGTCAGAGGTTCACACCTGGAATGCCCATGTATCCTCCTTCGCCGGCATTGAAAGAAGACAGGAGTGGTAAGTGGGTTAGAAATGAAGAACCCTAATGAATTCACCCTTTATATACTCGCCTATCACTGAGTTGATACATCGGGGAACGTCTCAATTGAGAATCCACTTCGCAGTGCATCGGGACTACTACGGGACAGTTGAAGGCACGAATATAACCATCGCCACTCTGGTTTAGATTACAGTAACCATTGGCGACTAGTACAGATCTACCTACGGCTTGTAACGCCTTCACGCATCCCTGTCGCGAGCCAGAGTTGTCCACTGGATCACCGTCGCACGCGGGACACACCAGGACGCCCGCCAACGCGGTCGAGCGCCAGCGAAGCAAAACATTCCTTTCGTACAGAGCGTTCGTGAAGAAGTCTGACTAGCACGCTGGTGACCATCTTGGCGTTCGTTTGAGGTCCCGAGACATCCAGGTAGTAAGACAGTAGCCGCTGTGGTCCAATGTTCACGGTCAGATGTTCCGAATGAAGCATCACCTTACAAAATTCTTGTTTGTGGCATATTTCCAATGCACGTACCTTCTTTCAGGCTAATGGTAGCTTACCAGTTCCCTGGCACTTCTGTGCAACAATGCAGTTATAGAGTTGCCCACAGACTTGGCAAGGCAAACGAGGTAAGTTATCTTGTTTTTTTTCCGTTGTCATTGGCGAATGCATTCACTAGGTACCGATCTGAGGGATAGATTAGGCTCGGGTTTATTCACAATGTAAGCAGTGTCGGAGCACAAATGGTTGATGAAATAACGCGCTCCGTGGTCAAAGCCGCAGCGCTGCCGCAGTAACTAGTCAAATGTTTTGATTCGACCTTCACGGTCGCCCGCTCTCATTAAATTCACTCATTTTCGTCGGCAGGTGTTTCTTGTTTACGATGTTTCAGGGAGCTGTTGCTTAATTGCTTTGCTTTCACTGTGGATACTCTTGTTTATGAGCTATACCACTCTTTTTTTAAAAGATTGTGAAAACCGGTTTCCTTTATTCTGTCTCCAATATTTTCGAATTTTGCGGTTAATCCCAGTTCTCGCAAATTGATCTATTTGAAGGTTAGAATATGGTCTGATCATAAGGTGCATATGGAATTAATCTTTTGGAATTTTTGACAAAAATATTTGGTAGCACAATTAATTAGGTGCTAGGGCCGTTCCATGTGACGACGATTTTATAGTCATTCCACTTCTTTGATGTTCTATTATCAAGGGTGTCGCTTCAACTACATACCCTTATTGGTTGAGCATTATCATTGTGTTCAATTCTTTATAAATGTAAGTTGGAAGAGATGCGTCAGCCTACTTGCAACTAAAATGGCCACCGTTTTCTTGCGTTGTTTGTTAGGATTTAATTACCGTATGGGGGAATTTAAATTCTGGAGTCTATATTCGTGTTACATGATTCTTTTCTGTTCTCCAGCAGTGTGAAGCTTACAATGGTTGCTTATGTTTAGTTAGTGGTATCTTCTTCGCCGTGGTATACTAAAATTGCTTCATATGTTTGCGCGGTTGGGGAAACTCTCCTAGAATGGTTATGAGTAGCGTTTTTCTGCTGGATATCATCCAATGGTTGAAGAATCGCGGAATCCTTTACTAACACTAGGTGATTTTCAGCGTGGTGAGTTGACAAATATGCTACTGACAAGGACCAGATAGATCCATACCGATTTTGAAATCATGAAATGGTTGGGTAGGACGAAAGCTCTTGCATATAATGGCAGGATCATGGGTTCGTAGTTATTAGTGGTTGAAGAGCATATCACCTGAGGTCTAGCAGAGGAGCCTTCAATTACGCATTCCTAATAACTAACGTAATCCTACGCCGGCTCTGATGAGCGCCTGGTAACATGCCTATGGAGAATATGATATGATGCTCTATATTTTCGGCTAGAATCATATTAAAAAGCAAGTTTCGAATTGCCTTTCCAAAGTGAGTGATGGGAAAAGAAAGGGGAAAAGTGGTCATGCAGAAAAAAAAACTCATGAGCAGTGGGAAAAGCATATACAAAAAAATGCGTACTTTTAAGAATAGGTTGGCGTTTATCAGGACTACCCTAAAGAATATTGAACCACGCTCGTACATCAAAATCAGGTAAGATTAGGTGTAATGCTCGGTTGGTTGCTTGCGCGGCATATGACAACTTTGATGCCGTTGCGTAATCCCCTATCAAGTGCATCTTCGATGTGGTGATAACGGGGTTGGTATGTCAATCCACTGTGTCACTGCATGTCTATCATAGAGAGCAGGTCCACAGGCGGGAACATTTTCGTGAAACAGCGGGTACAAGTGGCTCACTACCCCATTTCCACACTAAAATGAAAATTCAGTCCGGCACTCGGCTCTTACAGTAACCCCTCGCTTACTCTACCATCCACCCCCGTGTCCTTGCCCAAAGCCCCTTTTCGACGCGTCGTATATGTGACGGGTAAAAATATGCGTATTAACACGTGCCGGATTACTGTAAGAACCGAGTGCCGGACTGAATTTTCGTTCCTGTCATTTCCATATCGTTTGTCATTTTATGAGAATACGTTGTTGCTTTAAGTAGAGCCGATGTTTGGGTCGATAATGCGCTGCGGCTCATTTCCTCTGAAGTGTCTTCTTGTCTTCTCATCTTCAGTCGGTTCCATCTCTTCTCTTGTGAATTGCTCTTATTGTGGGACTTGATATAAGTCATTGAGAATTCCATTAAAGCGGGATCCTCCCACCCTTCGCT